TAATAATTGTTGTATCAAGACATTATAATAATAATTATATCATACATTCTGCCGTTAACACCAACCTCCATAGTAAACTGTATTCTTGTGTGTAGAGAATTGAAAATGTACTTATATATATTTGATCATGTTAGATGGAAATGCAAGAAGGATGTCATCAACATATCGGAAATAAAACAATGATGGCATTTGTAATTTTATGATCGCCACCTCTTCAAGATCTTGCATTACAATATGCACGATAACAGTGAATCCATCGGAGTGCTAAATACTTGTTTATAAATTTTTTGATTGAACGAAAAAAAGCATTTAGCAATTTAGCATTTCATACAAGCAACTTGCAAAGATCCAATTTATAAAAAATTTTTCCCTAACTCAATAAATAAAAAAATTTATTCTTAATTTAATTAATTCTTAATTTGATTTTAAACGGATGTTACAAAGATATTGATATAACGTGTAGATAATAATATTTAATGCTGAATGTTTAGAAAGTTATGAAAAAATAATGATGGCCAATAAAATATTTTTACTATTAATAAAAAAAATAAATCAAAAAGTATAAATGAATGTACAAAACATGTAACACGTTATTGAATCGTCTGAACAAATGATCATCGTCTGCAAAGATTTTGCGATCTTGCATCGCCGCCGCAGCTGTTTCGAAAGTGAAAGCAAAGATGTCTGCGGGACATTCTCATCAGAGCATCGGATTCTTCTGTCGGCGGTCAAAGAGTCAACTTTTGACGCATACTCGATTTCTAACCAGGACTATATTGCATAAATTATGTGACTTGTAAACACAAGAGATCCTTCGATCGAAGGCATACGCAAACGTTAATTTGTATACGATCTCGTTGATCGTGAGCAAGAATAGACAACGTAAAATCTCCGTAGAATCTCATCGTATGGATTAATTTTCATGTCGCATAATCATGCAATTCAATCGGACCGACTTAAAAAGTTTCCGCGGATATCTCACGCATATACAGCGGATAATATACAAGGAGGATAATATAGATAAATCTCGCAGCCGAGATTATATTACGTCACTGATGACGTTTGCCTTGCGTAATGCTCGAATAATTAAGGGTAAAATAAGTAACAGGCGCACGCGGTGCATTTTATTGTAATGAAACTAATTCTTTGACAACTTCATTTCGTGAAATATGCAGAAACAGATAAATTGCGTAATCTATATTTTGACGAAATTTCTCATGTAGGAGGTGAATTGGCATAATTCAAACTTGGTGATCGTTAGCGATAAATCGTTTGAAGTGAATGGATTGGACAATGAATTTTTATTCAGATATACTAGGGAATATAATATTCCAAATCTGTGAGGAACTATAACCGTGTGTACCGGAATTATAACGGTGTGTATCTTATAATTCATGACTGTAATTGTGATGATAGATTCTATTAAGTTTCGTTAAATCTCAAATCAATTGATTCTTAATTGAAATCTCCAAGCAATATTTCCGTACACACAAGTGATTAGGAATGAGTGATTTTTCACAGAAGATTCTTTAGTATAAAAACGCGATTAAGTAAGAGAAAGCTTTATTGTACGTTCAAAATCAAATGAAAAATCTTATTTTTTTTTAAGTTTTGAATTTTATATTGTCATTATATCAGGATATATACTGTATTAAAAAATTAAGCGAAAAAAGATTTCCTAAAATTTTCATAAAAGAAAAATCGAATGTACATTTAATATGTTCGTGTGACTTAATTCTTTTTTTTGCCTCGAACGATTCCGAACGATGGTTATCGATCGGTCGAAAATGATCGTAAATTAAAAAATGCAGTATCACTTCAAAGAAATTTAAAATTCATTTATTTTAAGAATAACAAAGCAAATACACTCACTTCAGAGGGATTAGTGAGCGCCGTCTTCAGGATAGTCCCGTTGACGAGATGGCCCGAATGCGTAGGATGGCTCGGGTGGCTAGGAGTGGGTGGTGAGTTAAGTGGATCGCCTGATGAGATTTTGTGATGATGAAGGAAACTACCAGCTAGTTGGACGTGCTGCTGCTGTTGCTGGCTGTGATGGGCAGCAGCCGCGGCCATATGCTTGTCTAGCATGCTCGTCGTGCTCATTGTATTCTTGGCACCCCCGAGAGTACCCGAGCCGTTTACACCACCAACATTACTACCACTCATATTGCTGACGCCGCCCGTCTTGTTGCTCTTCTTGTGTTTCTTGTACTTCACCTGCGATCGATCAACAGGCGATTTTTTTAAATAATTGCAGCTGATTTGATCGTCGATTAATTTGAACGTTCTTCAACTGGACTTGGGTGAATATAGATATTCGAACGACAATCTATCATTTTATTTATTATACGATAGTATAAATTATAGTATTATAATAATGATTTTATTACTAAAACTTTAGTCGGTGCATACCTTATAAAGATTGTACACTGCACCCGAATTTCTTCCTCCAGGCATCCGGTCTTCTCGAACCGCCTGCAGGACCATACCCTGTTCGATGCACTTCTTGAACCGGCAGTACTGACACCTGTTTCTTTGCGCCTTCGTAATTTCGCAGCCTCCCTCTGCCACACACGTGTATACCCGTCTATTTTGCACGGTCCTTTTGAAGAAGCCTTTACATCTGCATGCAAATAAATCGAATTCTTGTAACTTGTAATTGACTAACTCATCAATTTACACAATAAAAATCTTATTGAATCGTAAAATTTGAAACTCATCAAATAGGAAATAGAAATTGGCTATAATGATCTAAGTTGGGATCTTTTTAATACTTAATTTAAATTTTACTTTAATTTAAAGTGAATCAATATATACTAGATATGTACATACATATATACCATATTGTAGTTACTTGAACTAGGCGCTGAAATTTTTCCGGAATTTCAAATTTTACGATCCAATAAGATTCTTATTGTTTATATCGTTTATATTACATTTTCCATACATATCTATACTAATTATTGCGAAAAGTATTAACTAGGTTTAAGGCTTCCGTAGTCTAAAGACTAGGACGCTCATACAGAATGCAAGAAATCCGGGTTCAGCCTTCCGGCCGAGGTAATATTTTTCACAATAAATAAATTTATTTACAGATTTAATTTTATGTATTTACTGATACATATTAAGTTTTTTCTAATAGATATCTATTGATCATCAAAAATTTAACTGTGATATTATTTCGGTAGTTTAGCTGCGTTTCAAATCCGGAAAAATTTCGTCGCATAGTTCAAATGACTATAATATGATATATATATATATATATATGTGTATGTATGTACACATATAGTATATATAGTATATATTAATTCACTTTAAATTAATTAAACATTAAAAAGATCCCAATTTAGATCGTTTTGGCCAAGATTTCCTATTTCCTATTTGAGTTTCGTCAATTTAATCATAGAAGATACTCTTCATAAAATATTAAAAATAAAAAAAAGCTTAATATTAAAAAATTTCAGGATCATTATTTTCCTTTTCGCTAATAATTTATATATATATACTATCATCGAAAAATTTCCGGACATGGAACTCAAAATTGCATAATGTTCAGATCATCATAACTAAAAAAATCGCAGACAAAAAGATAAAAAAGCATTTTAAAGCTTGAAACTTATACTTTAGCATGCTTTCGATCGCTTTTCAAAAAAATTTTTTGCAGTTCTCTTTCTTAATAAATATCACATTGTTATATTTCTTAAAATTACGTATATTTAATAGTGCGCTTTTTGATAAAAAGATTTTTTTTTAAAGTTTAATATTTTTGAAAAACAGTACAAAGATTTACCTCCAAAATACTTTTTTAAAAATTTTCTTATACAATAATTTTTCTTGATTGAATTACGCGTCATTGAAGCTAAACCTGCATAGCTCACAACCAACATTAAAATTCGATGAAATACCAATAAAAAATTGAAGAAGTAACTTTTGAAATTCGAAGTTTGTATTTTAACAAGCTTCTAATCATTTTAAAATTTAATTCTACAGAATTAAAAAAATAAAATTTTTTGTAATGATTTTTTACCAAATTTCATCGTTGATTATTTAGCAATGCAAGTTTAGCTTCAATATTCGGTTACAAGATTGCCAAAGTGAGAATTATAAACAACTAATTACAGTCTTTTTTGCCCTATCAATTGACGCCGCGCTCAGCTAATCAAGCACCAATTGGCAAAAGTGGAGGAGTAATTTTTCGGTAGTGTCCGGGACCAAAAGCTCATCACTGTCGCAGCGAGTTACTACAATAGAATATCTTCAGGGATGGGCAGTATTTGAAATACATGTAGTTAAAAAAATTTAAAGACATTTTTGTATTTTATATTCAAATACAATTTTTTGAGTATTTTGTATTTAAATACAATTTTTTGGGTATTTTACTCACTCCTGGTTGTATTGATTCTAATCTTTTCTCGTAGCAGGCGATCACTTATCCGAAGCTAACACATGGAGATTACACAATCGGATTTACGTTTCGTACGTGCGTGCGTATGTGCGTGTGTGGGTGTATGGGAGGGAGAGGGAGTAATGTTGAAAATAGAGGTAGCAATACTTTACATTAAAAATTTAATTTCATCTGCTCAAGCACGCGTGAGCACCCCCTTCCCTCCCCCCAAGAAGCATAAATTCAACTATGCAATCTTCACGTGGTATATTTTGGGTAAGGCTAATGCCAGCGGTAATCGTTTGCTGCGATATAAGATTAGAATCAATACAGCGAATGCCATTTTGCCCAAAATCGTAATTTCGAATATGAAGGACATTAATTTAAAAATGTCGCAACTGCTTCCTTTTAATCTCGTTGACTTTAATAGACTATAAAATTTAAAACTATGTTAACATCATAGGGGTTTTTCTTCACTGAAAAAAAAGATTGATTGCTATAACAATTTAGATAAAATATGTTATAGTATTTTTATATGGCTGCAGCAACCAGATTTTGGTTTTACCAGCAAATTAGTTGCGTTACCCTACTGAAATCTTATACTGACATTGCGGATAGCCTATCCAACTGCAGCCATATAAAAATGTTATAACATATTTTATCTAAATTGTTACAGCAACCAATTTTTTTTTTCAGTCCCTTTTTGATCAAAGTAAATCGAGTTAAATAGAAACAAGTAATAGTCTCAGTTTTCAATTTTCACTTAAGTTTTTATGTAAAAAGCTTATTTCTGTCTAAAAAATGATAAGAGCATCTTAAAGTTTTAAACTTTTTTTTTCCTTTTTAATGAATACTGTACATTACTCAGTTCGTCTTTTATGAGTATTTAGTCAAAGTCAAACCATTTTTATTTCCAATGTTGAATAATTCGGTGAAAAAAAATTGTATGACATTCATAAAAAAAATAAATTAAAGATAAAGATTCACACTTTCGAAAACTGTAAACAGTATTTGGGCCCGATTTCTCATTTGCGGCATGAAACTTTGCAAATTTCATAAAAATTTCATAAAAAATTTTGAAATTTAACGAATCATCATTTGTAATATTACAGTTCATAAAAATCCATAAAAATCAGCCAAATTGTTATTTAAAGTACATATCTGAAAAATAGATAAAATAAAATCTGAAAAAATTTTAACGTCTCATTATGACCATTTTTGTAGAAGTTACATTCATTTAAAGTTTATCCATTTTTCAAAAGCGTGAGAGGTAATGCTTTAATTTCCGCGCGTTTTGTGTGTGTGTGTGTGTGTGTGTGTGTGTGTGTGTGTGTGTGTGT